CCACATCGCCAGACAGGACACTGTAAAAAAAAAAAGAATCGGTTTCTAAGGTCGTCTGATAGAAAGGCACGGACTGGACCAGAAGCAAAGGTGATGCAAAGCTGGAGAACTTTAAACCTGCATGAAAACAAAATAAAAATAATTTCTTTCTGTGAAAAAAGGAGATGATTAAGAGTTCATTTTGATCTCATCTCGTTTCTCTAATTCAGGGTTTCCTTTAGCTGCCCAGGCAACCACCTCATGGTGGGATCTCTGTTGCTGGTCAGGGCTGTGGAGGTCACCCTTCAATGGTGAAGGTTGGAGGAGGCGTTTCAGACGCTCAGGTATGAGAGAGTAAAGCTCATTAAGGTGGGTGTGGGTCAGCTGCCGCTACAAGCCACTCCCATAAATCAGTCAGCGCATCTCTGCACCCAGCAGGAAGTGTTTTAATTAAATTTAATTCAATTCATTTATATAGCGCCAATTCACAACACGTCATCTCAAGGCGATTTACAGTTAATGCGATTGAAACAGAGCCCAGACGTTCACCAGGAGGTAAAATAATACCAGAACACAGCCTGAACCTCCTAATGCTGGGTCTAACATAATGGACCACTTTGTTTTGGTTCTAAAAAACGTTCTGGTGACGGATGGGGATGATTCAGATGCATTCAGATGCAGAAAAGATCCACAGGTTCATCTACTGAACATTAGTCCAAATCTCTCTACCTGGTAGTTACAGACCACAGGTCTGCTTTCTGCTCTGCAGCTTTCGTCTGCAAGGCAGAGCATCACAGACATCTGCATAAAACACCAAGCTCTGCCTGATGCCGCTGAATTATCTGATGGCAGCAATATTTACTGGAGCAGACCAGCTGCAGGCCAGAAAGGTTCCTAATAAAACCAGCAGCTGAGCCGATGGAGGCGCCGCCTCTTCATCAGGACGGCTCTACTCCACTCCTTGGGGTGGGGGGGGGGGGGGGGGTTCTGTTGACGCTGCGCTGACCATGCTGCTAAAAAAGGGTGGGGTAATGGGAGGCACAGCAGTTTTAGAAAAGGTGTGAAAGTCTGAGGGGGAGCTCTGAGGGGGAGAACCCGAGCAGCTGTAAAATCTGCTGCACAGCAAACAGCCCAGAGTGAGAACAGAGTTAACCAGGAGGAAAGCCCTCAGCCTTCAGCCACGCGTCCGTCCCAGACCAGAAAACATCTGGAGATTAAACCCAGACTCAGAAAACAGTTAATAACAGAATAACAGCTGATAAAAAAGTTCTGTCACTCCAGTGGCTGGAAGTTGGAGGGGATTTGGCTGATAGTTGCAGGGAAGTGGGCTTCCATTGGACTGGTAAGGACCATTTAGTTTAATGTGTAATACTGCAGTCAAGCTGCAGAGACGCATGAAGAAGATCCTCCTATAACTCCACAGACTGATTTTTTTTAAGTCGTCTCTTTCATTTAACAAATACGTTCCTTTTGAGGACAAAGAAAGAAAAATAGAAATGGGAGCTGTGCAGTATTGATCTGCCTGTGGTTCTGCTTTTAGAGCTCACTGCTCCGAATGAGGCTCCATGCTGCCGCTCTGCTAAATCCAACCCTAGAAATGCCTCCAGCACATTGAAATTATTTCCACTGCAACTTTTCTAAGTCCTGACATAGAAAAAAAAAAGCAACGAAGGAGCACAAACAAATAACACAACATGTTAAGAGCACAGGAGGAGCACACCTTAATAGGCTCAAAGGCAATTTAAGCTTTTAGAGGCCTTACCAGATTCACTAATGTAAATCCCAGCGTGAGAAAAGCGATGAGCGGTGACAAAAAGGCTCCTCCGCCTCCGATGACTTCAATGGAGAAAATCCAGCCTGAAGGACAGTCAGCAGAGAAACACAAGTATGAGATGATGGCTGAAAACAGACAAGACAAAGAAAAGCTGCAGCAGAAAAATAAGAACACAGCAAGAGAAGAAGGACGAGGTTTCTGTTGAGCTGTGGAAAAAAGAGAGGAAAGTGCTGAATATCAAAGAGCGAAGGCCTCAGAGGATCAAACCCGACTGACAACCAGACGCAGACTGAGCCGCTCCTTCCTCTCATTATCACAGCCCACATCCGTCAGACGTCCCGGCTCTGTTTGTGATGCCGTCAGCGGGCTTCTCCTGCCCATCATGGCTCTCTGTGACACGCAGCCATGGAGGCATCGCCGCTCTTTACAGCGTGTCACCAAACGCTCCAGATAAGGAGGATCAGACAAGCAGAGACTTATTCCATGTCGCCGTAGAGATTTCATCCATAAACCCAAAGAAATAAAACGTGTTTCAGGTTCTTGTTCCAACGTCTGAGCAGGAAAAATCAACTAGAACAATCGTGAAGGTCCAAACTCACGGGCGAGTCGGGTCAAAATGGCTGCTGCTCATCTATGTCAGAGTCCTGCGCCGGGTCTGGTACCCGTACAAAACGTAGATCTACGGTCTAAAGAAAAACCCAATATTACTTCACGCATGTAAATGAACAAAATGCAGGTATAATAGAGTTAGAGCAGTAATGAAACTTATTTATATTTTCTTATTTATTAACTTATTTTTTTAAGCATTAAGGCAAACTTTCTAAATTTGGCCAATTAACAGCCATTAATCGGTGAGCTTAGCGCACGCCGGATGTGAGCGTGAAGCGATGATCTTTACTGCTTCTGTCATCATAAATAGCTGTGTGTAAACTGTGATCATGGGTCAGGTCGCACCTCGTTATTTACTGGTCGGTCTGGTCCCGGCCGTGTTTCAAATGGGGATAATTTCGGGTCACAGGTCGTTCTGAACTCTGCGGGTTCGGGTGGATTCAGTTCTGAAAACTCAGACCCGTGCAGGACTCTGATCTACGTTTCTACTTTGATGGTTTCGCCGTCCGTTTGAGTTTATGTGATATTCAATCAGCTGTTTTCACTGATTAGAAGACTAAACGTTGTGACGGTGTTGATTATGAACAAAACGCCACATAGAGAAGTATTTTAGTCCTTATTGTTGTAATAGGGCCACATTTCAACAACTCCAAATTCCAAGATCCGAGGTTAATGGATCGAAAGGAATCTGACAGAATTATAGGATTTGTTTTTAATTTATCCATTTCAATCAGTTTCTAATCAAAGGTGAGCTCAGTTCCACTGATCAGCTAACAGCTGGATTAGAGCTCTTTAGTGATGTTATGAGATGATTCAAGATGAATAGTAGAGGGAGTGTTTCACTATGGCACTAAATCAGTCTCAATTTTCACAAATACACATCAGGAGAGTCTCAACAATCTAGACACAAATGCAGTGAAGTTTACAGACCACTGATACTCTGAGATTTAATGAATGGTTGTTTATGGAACGGAAATACTTTGGCCAATCATGTGCTGTGCGTGTATGAATCTTGTATACTTGCGTGAATCGTGTTGTGTGTGTGTGGATCTTGTCCTGTGCGTGTATGAACCGCATGTATTTGGGAAAATTGAACCAATTTAGCTCCATAAAGGGCAAAAAAAATAAAATCTTCTCTGTAAAATATAAACTTTTTGAAACAACTGAAAAAGGGGGAAACTTTTTATCTAAAAACAAGTTTGTTTTAAATTCAGGGGTTCCATTCAGTGAATTTATTTCCGTTACTGAAATCTGCACAATTTAATGGTGGAGGGAAACAGTCCTAGCGATGGCCAATCATCTAAGGAAGTCTGACTGATTCTGACCTCTGGGAACGTTAGGAGACTAAACCTGTAAAATGTCTTCTTATTCTGTCATGTTGCCCAGGATGAAGAACACCGCTGGAAATCAAGCTGGTTTGGTTTGTTCTGAAATACTAAACGCTGTTGTTAGCTGAGGACTGGTACAGAGCAGGAGTTTAGGTTCAGACTTCTTCATCATTCCTCCCTCTTTCCATAACAGAGCAAATCTCTGCAGATTTCCTAAAGTTCACGGCTGATCCAGATCACAGCGGTGCTTCATTTCCAGTTTTTCAGACGGTTTTCCACCATTTGTGTTGATTGAAAACTTAGCTGCAGCTTTCCTGCTGTGTTATTCAGTAATATTGGAGCAGATGCACCATAATAAAAACTGGGCTGGTTATTACAGTAATGACTGTGGTGTCAGATGTCATTCAGTCTGCAGGCAGGGCTCATTATGGGCGACTCCCGGCGAGGAAGAGACACTCTGGTGTGACTTTGAGGGGACGGAGGGGCAGATGGAAGGAGTGAAAGAAGCAGCAAAAAGCTAAACCTAAAAGGAGATCCTCGTCCTGATTCTGTCCTCTATGGCGCCGCCTCAGCTCCGGGTCCAGATGGCGGCCTCTCTCCTCTGCAGAGGGAGGCCAGGCCACGCCGCAGCGGTCAGAAACCACGAGACGTTCTGCCCTGGAGCCCGATCCCATCCGCATCCTGTGATAAACAGGAGGGTCTGGGGGGGGTCTGTAATGATCCTGAACCGCAGGAGGAGTTTTTACTGCTGCTGGTAGCTGGTAGCTGGTACTGTGTTTTACTAACAGCTCTATGATGCCAGATTGGCTCATCGTGTGAAACAACAGCAGCCATTAAAGCTGCTTCTTAGCGACTGAGGCAATGAGGCTGGGGCGGGGCAGGGGGGGGTCACACCGAACCGGGCCCCGCCCATTTCAGGGCCCTAAAGTTTAAGATGGCAGTAAACTGAACGGTGAGTTTTAAGCCAGTGAATTCTGCAGCTCCAACCTCTCAGAGATTTTAACTCCCTCTCCTCCAAACGCTGTTAACTCATTAACAGCAGCAGCCGCTGCATAAAGCTCTACCGCCATCGGAGGATTTTAATGTTTCCAGGAAGCAAAAAAACATTATTGCTTTTTATAAATATATTTTTTACAGGTCTTTTGAATTAAACTGAAGTTAAAACATCTCTAGATAAACACTTTCAGCAGAAAAGATGGTGAAGATATCAGCTTCTCACAGTACAGTAGAAACTCTGACCTCCTTTAATCATTAGCCTCACATATTAGAAAGAGAGGCAGCGCTGGAAATATTTCAATCTTACTAAGTCATTGTTTCTTAAAATAAGTGCATTTGTTCTTGGATTGAGGAGGTAAAAGAGACATTTTGCCAATGGAACAAGACTTTTTACATTTAAAATAAGAAAACACAATTGCATTGCCTTATTTCAAGTGCATGTTATCTAATTATCTTATTTTAATTCTATTGGCAAACTACCTTATTTACCTACTCAAATTAAGGGTAAATACACTTAATTTAAGAAAGTTTTACTTATTTCTAGATTGTTTCCCAGTGAGGGTACACCCAACAGGTCGGCGGTCCATCGCAGGGACAGTTTCCTTAAATGAAATGATTTTACTTAAAAGTTCTGATGTAAAGAAATAAAATATTGGGTCCATCAGAAACTGTTTGCAGACAGGGAGACATGAGGAGAGATTTCTGCCAGAAACTCCATCGAACTGAAATAGCAAATTCTGTTCGACCTTTGATGCTCGACTTTCATCAGGAGCATCATAGAACTGAAACGAGGAGTTTTCTGCGATCGCACTGCAGGAGATTTCTGTTTTATTAAGATATTTTTTAAAAAAAAGGAATAAAAGCAGGTTTGTTTCAGAGAATTTAGAGGTTGATGAAAACAGTTCCTCCATGTTAAACGTTTCATCTCCTCCTTTGTTCTCCTAATGAACAGCAGCCATCAGCAAACGACCTGCTGACAAAATCAGCTAATTCCAAACGACTTAGCGGCCGCAGGAATCACAGGCCTGATATGCAGAGACTCGTCCTGTTGGGAAGTAAAATATTACATTAACTGATAAAAACAGGAACCAACCTGTTTCCTGAAACTGGGGCATGAAACTAGTAGACTAATATTTTAGTGTTTTCTCAACATCAGGGGGGGCAACGACTGCAGGTTTCTGGCCGATCACCGTTATTTCAAAAGTCTGACATGTAGATGTCGATTTACATCAATCCTGCCTTCTCTACAGCGGACAGTCAGTCGTTATAAGATCACAAAACAACCTTCAACATTTCAATCTTGCCTTTCCTTTGAAAAAAATAAAACTTCCCAAATATTATCTATCAAACGGTTAGAGCAGGAGATTTTTCTGTGTATCATAAGCTTTATATTAAACAAAAGCATAGTTTAACCTGTTACCATCCACCTCATTTTGGGAAAGTCTCGCCTATTTTGCATACTCAAATAGAAAAGCAAATAACTTAGGAACTGTAATGCTGCGTTCACACCGGACGCAGCAAAAGCAGCAAAATGGCGTCTGCTGCTTCCTTTTTGCTGCTTGTACCAGTTAGTTCTGACGCGCGGCTGAAGCAGCTTTGCTGCTCTGGCTGCGCGGTGCAAA